TTCAAAGTGCTAGGTTGGTTACTGTCACAAAACTGAAATCAATACCAGAAATTGAGGCAGCCAATTATTTTTTTCTTCAGTGTAGTCAAAGAAATTGACAACCCCTTAGAATTCAGAAGCTCTTAACCTGTTTAAAAATAATTTTAATTCCTATTTTCCTTTTCTTATTGCTTATGATATTTTTGTTTTGAAATTATATGGAAATACAACCTCAAGCTAAGATAGTGTAAGTGACACCGCAGGCTTTTACTTATTTCTCTCAAATGGTTTTGTTTTGCAATTCCAAAGGAGGGTACAAAAATAGTTTATTAGTATATAGTTCATGTAAAATTGGAAAATACAAAATGAAGATGGACAACTACCTCCATGGCAATGTAGCCTGTCACACAAAAGAATAAATATTTTTGACAAAGTTAGAATTCACATGCAGTAAATACTTGATAAAATAATTGGCCAGCGGAAAATAAGCCTTCAATCTGACCAGAAAATCTTGAGTTGTAAGAAAGAAAGGTGAAGTGTGTGTGAGCTTTGCTTCAGTTAACAGTGACCATGTTGGGAATTCTTTTTTGGTAATTTGTTTGTTTGTTTTTGTATTTTTCCAGGAGCGGGAATCGAATTCACGACCTTGCGCTTGCCAGACAGGTGCTGTGCCACTGAGCTAAATCCCCAGCCCCACATGCTGGGAGTTCTGATCCAGGGTCCCCTCTGCTCTGAACCCTAAGCGGACTCTCCAGAAGCTGTGCTCACCATCTGCCTGGTCTGATAAGTAAGTAGGACCACTTAGCACTAGAACAGAAACAAAGTGCCAGTTAAAAGATACATAACTATTATTTGAACGTTTATCACATGAGTGTAAAAATGATTAGCAGCAGTAGAAGTGAATCTGTGGATTCTCTCCAGAGGTATCTCAGCAGGCAGAAATAGCCTACATTCCTTGATTTGTTCTTGGACCAGCTCACCCAGCACTTTGCCAGAATATGTTTTGGCTTTGACAGCTGAACGGAGGCAAATGCACCAATACAAGGGCATACTTGAAAAAAAATCACTAAGAATTCCCATTGTTAAGGAGCTACTTGTACACCTTACATTTAAAATATTTGTTTATTCTGAAGTGTTTCTTCAAATATTTTACACTAAATTAAAGTCAGGTAGGAATAACAAGTTCTGGTATGCTACTGCATAGGGGGGTAACTATAGACAAAAATAACCTATTACATATATTCAAAGAAAGATGTTCACTAGATTTACTATAGTGAAATGACATGTACTTGAGTAGGTGTGTTTAATTTGATTGATAGCTAGAATAGTTGTACCATTGATTTCTATTACTTTATTGAAAGGAACAGTTGTTTACTAGTTCAATCAATCTTAGATGCCTATATTTATTTACCTGAAAAATCAATTTGAAGATATCAATATGTAATACAATTACCATTGTGAATTTCCTCTCACCTTGTCTGAAAGTCTGTATTGCTTGTATTGTTTTTGTGGTACTTTGTAAATGTCTGTGTGTCTATTAATATGTTTTCATTCTTTTACCTTTTTTTATTTTAGAAATTTAAAAACTGACAAAACAACAATGAAGACAATTATCTTTAAAAAAGAACATTACACAATATGTATATGTATTTAAATATTGCATGGTACCACACTTTTATGTACATTTCCTATTTTACATGTCAGCTAAAAGACAAATTAAATTTGAAATATTTTAAGGTGTTAATCTCAAAATAATTTCTATTAGTTAGCCTATACAATGAAAAACGTCTCTCCTGTCAATATTATAATTAATTACTTTTTAATTACTTCATTTTGTTTGTTTCACACAGCAATGCACTATTTACCATCTCCATAAAGCATGATACTAAAGGCTACAACAATATTTTACTGATGGAGAATATAAAACCAGGTAGCAACTACCATAATATTGCATTCAATGTTAAAACACTGGCAAGTCAGATAAAATCTCATCAGTGGATGTAGCTTTATGCTAATCCTTCAATACTGAATAAAAAATGAGTCTAAACTCTACAAAACAATGTGGCTAAGAATATGTGGAGACAATCAGAGAATTCTCATCTGTTATATACAATAACATTGTTGCAATAACATTCCCACCAAAGTCAATTATTTTTGGTCAAGAATTCACAGCAAGTTATAGCTGACGATTTGTCTTAGCTATATTTATAAAAAGCTCACATTTTTCTAGTTTCCCATCATCAGTTTATTCAAGCAATGCTTCATAATGTCTCTTCTCAGCTGAGATAAAATATCTCCTTCCCATTTGTCACTGATATTTCAAGAAATTTGTTAGGAAATTCTGTCACTTACCTATTTATCCATGCAGATATATTCACCAAATCACTAATAATGTAAATAAGGTGCCCTTCCAGTTACTATGGGAGAGATGTGCAATTTAGCTGTAAACAACTTGGAACTAGTTCATGTCATACAAGAACTCTTCCTACCCATACTGAATAATAGTATAAGACCAAGACAACAGTGATGTTAGCGAGAAGTATATAACAAATGTTGGACAGATAATATATGTTATGTATAACTCTTGAAAGTAGCCTGTATGTATATCAACAAATAATGAATGAATAAAGAAAATATGACATTTACATACATTGGAGTATTGGTCTGCCATATAGAAAGGTGTAGTGGTGGATTGATTATGTCAACTTGAGGAGTTTAGAAGCATAACTAAATTTGGCTCAGCAATTGGCCCAGCAATTCTACACCCTAGGGTGTAGAGGAGCTACCCTAGGGTGTAGAGGAGCCACCCTAGGGTGGATCATCATCTAGATAATATAAAAGGGAAATGAAGAAGGACAGAGGAACTTCCATTCCTTTTGGAGGAGCTCCAGTCTTCACCTTCAGCTTGGACTTCTTTTCCTGGCTTCTAGTGCAGACTCTTTGGCTTCCACCTTGCATCCTTCAGCCTTCCGTCACAGACTCATCGGCCTCCTGGTACGGACTTACACGGAACTCTGCAGTGAACTCAAGACCCTCGACTGATTCCTTCAGTCTTCAATGTGAAGACATCCTCTGCACACTTCCCCATACAACTCTCTGGCTGACTGTCATAAGTCAATCTTGTAATTTCTTATAATTTGTATAATCCATGTTATATGTGTTTCTCCAGTAAAACCCTGACTGATACAAAAGGTAAACTTGACTCATTTATAGGAAAATAGATGCACCTTGAGACCATAATGCTAAGTGAAATAAATCAGACACACAGCTTAAATATCATTTGATTTCTTTTACACGAGAACCCCAAATAATAAATAATGAGCAGAACAAAAGATAGATAATGTGAAGTAGTGAGACAGATCTTTTTCAAATGGTAAGGGGATCACGAGTTGAAGGGACAGGGGATGAAAAACGGAAATAAGATGTGATTAATACTTGTGCCAGCTCCACCCAAGGAATGTAAAGATTATGTACTGAAAAAGAGTACTAATGAAAATTGAAAAATCCTGACTGGGTAATAATACATCAGAAGGCTTCTGTGAAGTGTTGTGAATACGAAATTTATGGAAAATGCAGAAAAACTGAGTAGTAGAGAGTGAGCTAGAGAATCTCAGAGAGAAAAAAAGCAATGCAACAGGAACACAGACGAGACCTGAGTATAACATACAGAGAAAGAAGTCAGCAGAATATGACGGATGGAGAGAGGAAGGTTCCTAAAGGAGAGAGCAAAGAGATTTGGGAGCCAGCAAACCACCCGTGTTATCCTGAGCAGCAGAATAAATGATCTACAAGTTAAGACCTCAGTTAGGAGCAAATAACTATTTGCTATGTGCAAGGAAAAGGTATTTAAAATTTTAGTTACCAGTAAAAAGAATAGTAGGTAAAATCACAAAGAAAACATAAAATATCATTTATTCATGAAACCGCAAGAAGTTCAAAATGATTACAAAGTAAAGTATTCATGTGAAGAAAAGGAGACCAGAAAACAGTCATTGGGGTTGAGAGAGGTGAATCTCGTGAGGTATAACAACTACAGCGGTAAACTGTGGGCTATTTTTTAATGATATTATAAAGGTTAGATTTTACTTTAGGGCCCTGGAAGTGAGTGAGAGTGAAGAACAAGGTCAGGACCCTATTGGAGTTCACACTAAGTTGCCACGCAGATCCAAACACCCAGGGCACACTTAGAAGCAGAAAGAATGATCAGAGAAATGAAGTGATTCAAATGACGAATGGTAATGAAGTAGACTCTAGGGTCGTGGGAATAAAAGGAAAAGACCCATGAGGGTTTCTGTATGGACAGATGATGTTGGGACTATTTTGACCTGCTCATGTCCCATGAGTAACTAGAAGCAGAATAAAAGCTTGACATCTTGTATCTGTCTCCGGCTACCTTAAATGTTGGGTCAGATTCTTGCTCAACTCTATGCATAGACTTGTGAATCTTTTAAGGAGTGCCTGTCTAAAAACTGGTAACACAAGGTAGACCAATCCTAAATTTACCTCCTGTCGCTCATCTGCCTTCAATACTGAAGACACAGAGGTAAGAATGTGATATTTTCAAGGCTTCAGGAAAGGAGAATTTTGCAGACCGCTCCCCTCATGGGATTGCCCCTTCGGGACTGAACACAGGGCCTTTGCTTTGAGCTCCAGCTCCAGCCCTTTTTACTTTTTCATTCTGAGACTGTCCCTTTAAACACAAGCAATTTCCTCATGACAGAAACCAGGACAGCTTGCCCTAAGCAAGAGCAACCATGTCTTTGAGTAACTGAAGTATTGAATTTCCCCTTCAAACAGTAATGATTTCCCTGGAGCCGGCAAGACCTCACAGAATCAGATCTGAAATAATGATAAACCAAACAAGCCTGACCAAGACTCGTTGACTACATCCCTAGCCTCCCAATTTTTGTTACTTTCCCATATAATCCTAAAGTTTTTGTCAGTAACCCTAAACATAGGGCTTAGGATGCTGGGACACAGCTCCTGGTGTGTGGCCACACCAAATATTAGAATTACTCTTCCTCTCTCTCTCTCTCTCTCTCTCTCTCTCTCTCTTTTTCTCTCTCTCCCTCCCTCCCTTCCTCCCTTTTTCAACTTTCAAGGAGATAGGTGTCAAAATCTAATCTTCTCTGTCTCCCAGCGTGAAGCCTAGATTTCCAGTAAGAATCCTTTGAGCGTGTTCTAGGTTCTGGACTAATCCCCTCTCCTGTGCAGATGTTGGTAGTAAATCTAATGCTATGTAAGTAAGTGTGCAGAGGGAGAAAGCTGCCTTTCCATTCCCAAGCTTCTCAAATGCAACCATTTGTGTTGTAGGAGAAGGAAAAGGACCCCACGGCTGCAGTCCTTCAGGCCAGGCCAGGCCATGCTGTGGAACTATTTCCAGGAACAAAAGGGCCCAGCAAGCTGCAGAAAGGCAGGTGCTGAACTGACGTCAAACGCTCCTCAGGCAGGGCCTTCTGTGTGTGCACACTCAGGCGCTCTAGGAAAGGGCACGGCAGGAATCCTCACTAACAGGTCAGAGCAGCGGAGACTTCCTCCCTGACAGTTGTCATTTCTGTGGAAGTCGAATCTTCCCCTAGCTGCTTCACAGTTGCCAGCTAAGTGTTCTACTGGAGGAGAGACAGGTGGAAAAAGGCAAGAAGACACATTCTCCTTCAGGCGTGAGCAGAAAGAAAAGCTCAGATTTTCTAAAAAATGAAAATCAAAAGTTAGTTTTCTGGAAAAACAAAACATCTATCATTGTTTTCTTATTTCAGTTACCAATTTATTAGGTAGAATGCTCAAAACCAGACTTACCTCTGTGTGAAAAGAACTTGGGAATTTTTGACCTGAGCAATTTGATATGAATCTGTTCTATAGAATGTTGAGATTAATATCCAGCTTTGGTATACTTTTATTTCGTTATTACATCTCTTAGAAAACAGAAATGCAAACTAGAGAAAGAAAAACGGTCACAGAGAGAAAAATAAAAGAGCATAGAAGTGAAAAGAAAAATCTGTGAAACAATACTGTGAAAATCATTTTCCCTCCTATCTCTTCCATAAATGGTTAGTCAGGATATTTGTTTTAAATTTCCCCTTCTAATTAGATGAAACATAGACTGTAAATCAAGTTTTGTTTGCAAGAATAGATGTAATATATCCAGATTGAGAAGTTTAGTTCTTTTTTTTAGTCAAATTCAGTGGTACATTCCTGAAGTCTTAGCACTGTGGAAGGCAGACTTGCGGATCACACTTCAGAGCCTTTGCTGGGGAACTCAGTCAGACCACAACTCAAAATAAAAAATAAATGAATAAAATGGTCTGTGGGTATAGCTCAGTGGCGGAGCATCCCTGGGTTATATCCTTAATACCACACGGACAAACACAAAATGTTCAGGTTTTTTTCTTTTTTTTTCTTGCTGCATTTAAAGGAAAGTTTTTAAAAAGTCACTCTATATTCTTTACTCTAATCCTAAATATTATAAAGTTTGCCCATTGTGATGGTTGGTACATTGTGTCAACTTGAGATGCTTAGAAGTTTAATTAAGTAATTCAGCAGTTCTACATCCTAGGGTGTAGAGGTCATGTTGTAGGGCCGCTCTTTATGTCCTAGGGCTTTGTAATTGTTGATTCATTGTGCCAGTTTGAGAAGTTTACAAATTTAACTAATTGACTCTGCAGTTCTACATTCTAGGACATAGAGGACCCAACCTGTGGCGGGGTGGGTAGCCTGATTACAGTACAAGGGAGGGAAAGAGGCTTGCTCTCCCTATTTTGCTCTTGCTATTGCTGTCTTCTGCCACCATGAATGGTTGCCTCTCCATTGGCATGCCACCATGCCTTGGAGCTGGCTGATTATGGACTGAAATCACCACACACTGTGAACTAAATAAACCTCTCCTTACTTAATTCTGAGCATCAGGGTTTTATTGTCTCAGCAATGAAAGGGAGGTAACTAAGACATCTATGGAAAGATTTTACTCTTAATTTTAGTCCTATCTAATTTTCCTAAGGACCCAGATACACAACGCCCCTCTTCCTCTCATTCTTCAGTTGGTTTATTTATTTGTTTTTGACTTTTATTAGTACATGTTCTAATTACATAATGATTATGTTCACTGTAGAGGACTGGTGTACATATGTAACACACTTAATGTGCCTACTTTTTCCCCCTCCCTCCACTCTCCCTTTTGTCTTTCCAGCATTAGATTCATTTACTTATAAGACTTTCTAAAGTTAATCATCATATATATAGATTGTAAGCCAATTTAATATGCCAAAGACCATATAAAATATGTAAGACAGTTGTACTAAGTCAAGGCACACTGTTAGATACATTTTTTTTGTGCTGGATTACATTTTTTTTCTTTCTTTCTCTTTTTTCCTATTATTGTCTTCTCTCTTTCTCTCTCTCTCTCTCTCTGTCTCTGTCTCTGTCTCTGTCTCTCTCTCTCTCTCTCTCTCTCTCTCTCTCTCTCTCTCCATATATATGTATGACAGTACATGAAAGATCAGTAATCGATTTTGTCCAGTGTGGTTATGCCAATAGATATCTAATCTAAGCCTAGGTTCTAAAGAATATGAATTAGTATAAAAATTAAGAAAGAGTTATAGAGAGAAAATTCCTGGCAAAAGTAGCATCAGGTTATCATGAAGAATTTTTCCCTGACATTTATCTTAAAGTTGTGCAAATATTATTCAGCTTCACTTTGACTAGTAAAGATTATATTGACTTGGAAATCTAGATTCATAACTGCCTAAAGATTACAAGTAGAAACAAAGGTCTTTTACTTTCCAGTGAATGTGCTAACTTAAATAAAGTTTAGATGATATTATTATCATACAGAAAAATATATTAAACATTCAATTTAATGTATGTTGGTGATGTAAACTCACAGAATATCTTATGCTTCTAAAATCCTCTGCTGTTCCAGACTAATCAATATAAACCCTGAAAGATTATGTATGGTTTACTAAGACATAGACTGAAATAATAGTATTCATATCTTACTTGATTTTTCTTAATGAAAATGAAGAGGACTAGTTCCCAAGTGGTTAGAAGAGTACTAACGTAATCATATATTTAGCCCTAAATGCAGGTATTTTAAATTCCAATCACCTGAATATTTCTCCCTCAATTTTGCTAAGTATATCTAATACATTAAATTTTACTAACATTTAAGAATTAGGTTTTAATCAATTCCCCTCTCCAGATGCTTCCCAAATATTTAATGTTTTAATATTTATAGATGTTAGACATTAGAGATATGAGCAGTGAGTGAAGAAGGTATTAAACAGCTATAGCAGACTCTTCTGTTTAAGGAAAAGAGGTAGGAAACAAAGAGATGGCTGATCATGAGTCTGATCTAAACAAATGTTTCACTGTCATTGTGTTAAAATACCCTGCAAATTCAATATTAGGATCTACAAGCCTCTATAAACCTTGCTCTTATAAAATTCCCTTTCACCATCACTTAATTTTTCCCATTTCTCCTATTTAACTTTACATAGATGTCCATCTTCATCTCTAATAATGTCAAGCTTATTCCCACTACTAAGTGCTGCCCCCTTGGCAGAAGATCACCACCAGTTTCCTAAAACCATTCAAAATTTTATTCAAATGTTATCTTTACAAAGCTATGCTATGATAGTCTGTGAGTAAAGCACATCTCAAGTAATCCTCTGTCTCTCTCTCTCTCTCACACACACACACACCAGTACCTTAAAAGTCTATTTTTTAGCCAGGTGTGGTGGCACAAGCCTGTAATCCCAGCACTTGGGAGACTGAGGCAGGAGGATAGTTGTGAGTTCGAGACCAGCCTGGGCTACAAAGTGAGCTCAAGTCCAGCCTGAACTGAATAGTGAGACCCTGTCTCAAAAAGATGAAAAAAAAATAGTCTGTTTTCTAGAGAAGACAGTTTTTTCAATTCACAGCTATATCTCCAGTTTCTCACAGTGCCTAACACATAGTAAATATCAATCAATAGTCCTTCTTTCCTTCCTTCCTTCCTTCTGTCCCTTCTTCCCTCACTCCCTCCTTCCTCTGGTTCCCTCCTCTTTTTGTTTTTTTCTTTGCTTTGCTTTTACTCTTTATTTTCATTGCTGGGTTTTAACTCATGGGCTCACACATACTAGACAAATATTCCACCACTGAGCTCTATCCCCATTCCAATCAATAAGATTTCTTTTTTCCTGGAGTTGATTTATGTATGCAGAGTGACACAAAGTGGAAGAAATACTTTAGAAACGTTCTGTCACTTTAGAAATTTGCTTCTCATCATCTACCAAAACTTTTCAGCTTCCTTCTGATGATTTCTACTGTAATATTTCCAATAGAATGATCAGAGTAGTTGATTGATTTTGATGCTCAAATCTGCCCGTTCAAGTGGCACTACACTCCCTTGCCTGAATACGGCCAACATTTCACAGTTACATGCTCGTTACTACGAACAATCAGGAAGCACACCTACGCCTTCGCGTACTCAAAAGACACATTCCCTCTATTGAAGAACACCTGTTCTAAGGTGACTCAACTTGTCTATTTAAGGTTCATCGCTGCTGCTGGTGACTCCTCCATACCCAAAACAACTACTTTACTTAAAGGTTAGAGTATTTGCATATCTTTCTCTGTTTCTATTCCCAAAGAAATTGGTACCTTAATTAGCTCATAACATTTGTCTCTAGCTTCAGTGTTAACATACGTATCATTTTCATAGCTTGATATCTGCATAGTTTTTGGTTCAGCCTTTTATTCTATTAGTTTAAGTTCAACTCCAAACATAAATAGGATTATTCAAGCCTAACAGACCCTAACAATCTTTCCAGCAGCTTTCCAGGCAATTTGCTTTCTAATTATCATTTAAAATAATACATATGTAACTACTTTTATACTCATATTCACTGTTGCTATATGCATTTGAATAAATACATATACAGAAAGCCAAACTTATATCTGCAAATCATTGCAATAAATTGAATGTTTATTCACAGAAACATCTAATTGATTATCTCTTGGTGACAAGATTGGACAAATTTCAAAGTGACTCCAAAAGAGATTTAACGCGCTGCTAGAAATGAAATCTCTGCCAGGATAATGAAGACATTCGTGTTTTCTGAGGGAACTATGACCCCATGATGAAATAAACGTTCTAATTTTTAGGAAGAGTGTTTATTTATTTATTGTGATATTAACTGCAAACCCAGAGTCATTTAGTTTCAGCAAAAGGAGAGGGAATGTTGTTTCTAATGAGGTAACTCTGATTAAATCCGAACATTTCCCATTACTGTTAGTCATTTGAATATTTTAGGATATTTCTTTCAGAACCTTACTTTAACACTTTCATAGACTCTTGATGGAAATAGAGACTAGTCTGATGCATTGGGAGGGATATTTAGAAACAAGAGTGGGATCTTTTAGCACCTTTGTTAGAGGCATTAGTAACTGATTCCGGCCACCAAGGAAGGGTAATTCAGACATCTTAGAATTGGCTCAACATCTCATAAACCAAGTTTACCCAGAGGTAAAGGAAGGAAGAAATAATTAGGGTATCTGCAATGAAATAAAGCAAGCTGAAGAATTTTCAAGTATTGGGGGCTTTTTATTTGTTTGTTTGGTTTGGTTTATTTTGGTTGTTTGTTTTTCCTGGTGTTGGAGAATGAACCCAGGGCCTTTGCACTGAGCTGCATGCCCAGCCTTTAATTTTTTT